GAAGCATTAATCACTTCCCTTACCCACTCCACCAGTCCTCCTCTGGCCAGTTTAATAAGCCAGGAAGGGCAGGGTCTAGTATACATGTGGTTGCTCTCACCTCTCCAAGGATCCTGTCCACATCATCAGGCTACACAAATCCATCAATACTGCACAAGCAGGAGCCAAGGTTACATCCACCAACACTGTATCAACCCTGGCATCTAAATCAGAGTGAATCTGAGTGATTTTATCAGCAAAATGGTGAGCAAACTCTTCACAGAGAGAAGTTGATTGGCTTACATTCTCCTCAGGACCAGATCATAACAGATCCTTAAACACTTGAAACAGCTCAGCTGAGTGGTTCTGTGCTGCTCCAATAGTTTTAGTTTAAAAAGCCTTTTTTGCTACCTTTATTGCATCACCATATGTTTTCAGGTAGTTTTAGTCAGATTCACTCTGAATTTTCTTCCACTGTTGCTCTAGTCTCCATCTCATTCATTTAATTGCTGCCAGCTCCTTAGAAAACCAAGGAGCTGGTTTAGCTCCACTCGGTGAGATGGAACACTGAGGAGCAATCATGTCAACTGCCCTGGTACCTTCTCCATTCCAGAGATCAACTAGGGCTTCAAAGGACCACCTGCCAAGGCAGCAGGAAACTACCCAAGAGCCATCAAGAATCCATCTAGAGCCATAAGCCTCTTGGTGTGGACCATCTTAATGGGTCCCCCACCCCTGCAAGGGATCTGAGTTTCAGCAAGTCTAAACCTGACCAGAAAGTGATCTGTCCATGACAACAGAACAGTAGAAAACTCCTCCATTCCCAGATCACTATCATCCCCCTCTGTACAGAGAACATAAGGTATAGAGTGTGCCCAGTGGCATGATTGGGGCCAGATACCACTTGGGACAGCCCCATGGTTGTCATGGTGGCCATGAAGTTCTGAGCCATACCTGATAGGGAAGCCTCGGTATGGATGTTGAAGTCCCCCAGCAATATAAGCTGAGGAGACTCCACACCACCCCCAAGACCATCCTGGCTAGCTCAGGCAGGGAGATTGTTGAGCAGCAGGGTGGACAGTACACCAACAGAATCCCTAATCTGTCCCGGCTGCCTATCTTTAAATAAACACACTCAATCCCTGTAGATTGAGGAATAAAATGCATGGTCAGGAGGATATTATTCCAATAGACCACTGCAACTCCACCTTCCCACCCCTCCCCCAGGTCTTGCATGCTGCTGCACAGAGAATCCTGGTGGGCAAAGCTGAGATAGATGAACGCCCTCATCCTCATCCAATCAGGTCTCTGTAATGCAGACCAGGTCACCTTGTTCTTCCTGGATCATGTCCTGAATGGCAGCTGTTATACCATTCACTGACCTGGCATTCAGAGAATCATTTTCAACCTAAGGGATAGCTGTCTTGGCTATCCAGATAATTTGGGATGGGAGACAGTTTGGGGTGACTAACACCCTATCATACATTCTACACCTATGATAATGGTCTTTCATTTCCATATCTCACAATCCTCTGTATAACTTCAATGGCTGCTCCCTGAGTAGGATAAGCTCCTTCCTTTCAGTGGACATACATCTCCCCTCCCCACAGGACTGGTCAGTTGATTTTTCTGCTTATCGAAGAGACAGCAGGAAAACAGGCCTTCACCTTTGAGTCATTCCTTAGCAACCACATGTGCAAAAGCCCTGCCCCAAAGTAGTCCACATGCCCAGGGGCTAATGCAAGGCAGCTGGGCAGTTGCTGGGAGCTGCTGGCTGGGCCTCAGTCCTGCCAAGAGGCAGCTCTCTCTGTGGAGGTAAAGGAGTCTCTGAGTGAAGGAAGAGGTTGCAGATGGGATGTACAGTTGCTAAGCAGCCTGTGTTACTGCTAGTCTGAGTTGCTAATGTGCTTGGTCCAGAAGGCACTGGAGTTGGCGAAACAGATGCTGGCGAAATGTCAGAAAGGAACTCTTCTAGAATATGGCCACACAGCCCAAGAAACCCACAAAAACCTAGGCACTGGAGTGCTTGGCCCAAGGGTAGGCAGGGCACCAGTATGTCCCACCTGTGCCACAAAGGCAGAAAAAGTGTGGGTGAAGTCCTCCAACAACTCTTCTCTCATGACTGGATGCGAGGAGGGAGCAGGTGTTAATGATGGGCAGGACATCTCCCCTGGGTGCCAGGGCAGTCCATGATTTCCTTGGCTGCCCAGCTTGCCCCCTGGTGGCAGGCTGAGCAGGCACATCCACCTGTTTTCCCCTTTTCACTGGCATGGCAATAGCAGCTGAAAGCTGCTGCCCAAAGCCTGGCTGCCTGGAATGTGGCAGAAGGCCTGGTGGTTGGGGGGTCAGGCTGCTGCCAGTTTAGACAAAAACAAAACAAAACACAGAGATCATGGATTTGACTATTCAGATATCTCTAGTTATGTCAGATATATTACCTTTCTACACACTTCTGCATACTTGAAATACCTATTTTCCCCCTTAAAAGCTTGTTAAGCTTGTTGCTTAGATACCGTGGAGATAAGAACCTTAAAATACTTATTACAGGGAGTTTGACACTGGAAAATATCTTTGGACTGTTTACTCCCTGAAATGTTTCATGAGATGAGATAACCCAAATGCAAAACCATTTTCCAAATGCCCCTGGAGTACAGGTATATGTACAATGGCTGACCCTTTACTGTAAAGCACATATAATTGCTCAAAACATATGAAACTGTGTCCAGTTTGTTCTTTAGAAGTCATACAAGTCAATATCTAACATGGAAAATGATGATAGAAATTATGGTACTCCTTTCTCCGAAAGGAAAGGGTAATGGCCAGTGTTGTGCTGTAGTATGTTCATTTCCTCAGATAAAAGATACTTTAAAAGAATAAAAATAAAATCCAGCTACAGATTATTGGCAGATTTGTGACAAAAGAGAAGGCAGGCTGGTCAGACTGAAGTAGGGGGAGTTGTATTGAACAAGCATTGGTTCAAGCCTGATTGCAAGATCCTTGGGAACTTGGAGGGTGTCAGTGATGTTACTAGAACTCTGTAATATATATGTCGAAAGACTCTGTAATATATATGCCTAGAATTTTGAGCTCACACACATTCACAGTTACTTCATACTTAACCCCCCTCCCCCCCAAAAAAAACCCCACAGGAGTTGTGTGATTTTGTCACTGCTGTTGTTCAGCAATCTAGAATCAGAAATCCTTCCTGATCTACTGCAAAACAAGTATCAGGCCTGCCTTCTGCCAACCTCAGTGTGGTTTAGCATCCAAATTTCATCTGTTACACAGCTTTTGGTGATTCAGGATCCCTGACCTCTTTTCCACCTGAGTATCCTAAATCTATGTCCCACAGGCTACAACAGGACTGCTATGGTGTTTGGCCTGGGAGAGCTTCTCTGTCCTTTCTCAAAGCGGTTGCCTACAGTGAAGCTTCAGGAGTTGGAAAAAATAACTTAAGGAGCTGGATGCAAGTCACATGCCAGATGTTGCTTACTCCTGCTTTAATAGAAACATAGCATGAAAAAAGTATATAGTATATATAAACATGATTATTTATTTACAGTCTGCCCTCCATATCTGTGGACTTGCCATCTGTGAATTTGAGCATTTGCAGATGGCAAGCCAACATGGGGGAGGGTAGTAGAGGAGCAAGAGGAGTCAGAGATGAGGAGGAGGAAGGAGGAGGGAGGTGGCAACAGTGTAGCAGCAGCAGTGGAGCAAAGAGGAGGAAGAGGCAAGAGGAGGAGGAGGAGGAAGCAAGAAGAGGAGGAGGAGGAGGAGGAGGAGGAGGAGGAGGAGGAGGAATGAGTGGGAGGAGGTAATGGCAGTGTTAGAGGTTCCTTGCTGCCAGACGCCTCAGGTGAAAGCAGGGAGGGAATATTCATAAGGTGAAGTCCCATTGTCCTCAATGGTGTCATGGCCACATGATTGCACCACCATTTAGGACAATGGGACTTGAACATTCATGGATTTTGGTATCCATGGGGTTGAGTCTGGAATGGATCCCCCTCAGATACTGAGGGCCCACTGTATTTCATTTATTCATTTTCCCAGAGTGGGACCCAAGGTAGCTAACAAAAGAAATAAGTTAAAACCTGACAACACAATTTTAAAATCAGTTAAAGTCATTACGTTTAAAACATTATAAAAATATTTTAAAAGCATACAAAAGTAAGTAAATAAAGTACACACCTCAGCAAGAAGCTTCCCTGTGAATGATTACGTATTACCTTCTTGTTGTTGTGTGCCTTCAAGTGATTTCCAACTTATGACAGCCCTAAGGTGAACCTATCATGAGGTTTTCTTGGCAAGATTTGTTCAGAGGATGTTTGCCATTGTCATCCTCTGAGGCTGAGAGAGTGTGACTTACCCATGGTTACCCAGAGGGTTACATGGCTGAGCAGAGAATCGAACCCTGGTCTCCAGAGTAGAAGTCCAACATTTAAACCACTATGCCATGCTGGCTGTCTACTTAAATAGAAAGGTGTTTGCCTGCTGGTGAAAGAAGAACAATGTGAAAATATACTTTTAGGACAGTGATCCAAGATCCTATGCTAGGTTTTCATGCTAGTAGGTACTTCTTCAAAATGAGAACATTTATTGGCAAGGTCTATGCATTAATTAATTAACTGATTAATTAATATGGAAACATTAAAGTACAAGTTCAGAAATGCAGGCTTTAAGTCAGATGCTACCTTTCATCTATAGAACCAACGACAACAACAAAAGCATAATACTGATATCCTAGTATGCACAATGCATGTGTGAGTCTTGAGTCCTGATCCTATTTTAGCATCCTTAATCCTATTTAAGAATACTTCCCAAGAATTAATCCTCTAATCTGTTATTAGAACCTCAGTTCTACACATATCCACTTTGAAATATGATGATTGGCTTGGTTCTGACGATAAATTAAGGAAGTTCACAGAAGAAAATTTCTCTATCTAAACCTTTCTTCTGCTGTCCCCAGATGCAGGGGATAGATGGCACACCCCTTGGTTCAAAAATTCTTGAAATCTGGATGTGTGCCTTTTTGCTACAGTTGATGGATGTCAGGGTTCTAGTAAAAAACAACAACAAACCATGATGCAAGTGTGCTATCATATGGGAGACAAAACCAACCAAACAAATAAGCAAACACTCCTGAGTTTAAATATTAGCTCATGACTGGGATGCCATGGAAATATATTCTCCTAGATTGATGTACTTGTCATCCAAATCTAGTGAGATTTATTGAAAACAATCAGAATTCATGTTAGAGCAGAATAAACACTTTGAACAATGAACTGCTGTCCCAGTCACTAGGGATTGAATAGAGAGACTGTGTATGATGGTGCAGTTGAAGAGAACGTTGTGATTTGGGAGGCAGATTTATGTTTTTGAGTTCTTGCTTAAGCCAAATGGTCACAGATGGGACTAGTCAATCTTCCTCTCTGGAAAGAATCTCACAACTAAGGTGATATTACTGAAAAGGTTCTTTCTTGTGCCATTGCAAAGTGCAGATCCTTTGCCAATGTAATGCAGATCAAGAATTCCAAAGATGATCACAGTTGGAGAAAGGAGGCAATCTTTCAGATATCCTGGCATGAAGGCCATTGGGGCTTGAATAGATAAGAATGAAGATCTTGAATCACAAACAAACAGGAATCCAATGTAAATGGAACAGGATGTAGATTATATGATATGAAGAGTGAGTAGCTGAAACCATTTTGCACTTGTCATGGTTTCTAACTACTCTTCCAGTTCATTCATGCATAAAGCATATTATAGTAACTAGGGTCTGGATGGTGGGAGCAACCTCAGAGTGATGGGATGACCACAGGCCGTTTGAGAACAGTAATCTAATCTAGATTTGACTATGGGGCCTACCACACTAAAAATTATAGTACTATATTCCATAACAACATTTTATGGAATCCTTGGGCTTGTAGTTTTATGAGGCACTCGAGTTCTCTGGCTGAGAATTCTAAAAAAAAAAAAACCTGAGACAGAAGTACTGCAAGGATGAATCCTCTATGGAAAATAAGATTTAGGTAAAGCAATCTGAAATTGACTTTAATTAATACAACAGTGCAAAAGTGCCTTTAGAGATTGTCAGTATCCTGCCTATAAAGTGACTTTTGGCCTCAAAAGATCAGATACTTCCCCAGACCTCAGCATGGATGGTTTGAGTGTTGGACTACAGCTCTGAAGACCAGGGTTTGAAACCCACTGGGTGAACTTGAGCAAGTCACATGCTCTCAGCATCAGGGGAAGGCAATGGCAA